TGAAATTAGGCAGAGAGAAACAACTTGTAAGGAATAAAAATAAAATCCAGGTACATTGATTTCTAGTTTCTGAAGTGGAGTGCAGCACTAGGGAGGAGAGAAAAGATGACTGGCAGCAAGAAGGGCTGATGTCCATTTGATCTAAAAAGCAGCCCACCATAAAAAGAGAGTTATCCATCCATTTCACTCAGACTACACAGTAAGGTTCCTGGTATTTATTCCTTCTAAAATTGTCAAATCAATCACATTTTCAAGTGATCTGGTGTCTTAATGTAAAACAAATATAAATGAAAACCCGAAGTATTTTTGTTCTTAATGGTTAAAAGATTTTTTTTTTTTACTTTAATTTCCACAATATTTAAGACCAACTTTTCTCTGGGTTTTTATTAAGAGAATGCTCTCCCAATTAACACAGGAAAAGTTAGAAGCAGAAAAGTGGCAGTAAACAGTAGTTTTCCCCATCATTGGGCATGTCTACACATGAATTTAAGCAGGCTTAAATTTAATGCACATTAAACTAATGTGGATTAAGAGCGTTTTGACAGCTGTCTACACATGGTAGGACTTGGGACAAACTTTAGTCCCAGGTCGCTTCAGCCCTGCCATGTGCCCCTGTGGCCACCAGAAGGAGCTCCAGCCTCTGGCACTTTGCAGCCATACTGAAGCCAGAGCCAGCTGCCAGCAGTTGGCAGTCATCTTGGAAAAACATACCCACCTTCTGATTCCTGGCTAGCCCCTTCCCTGCCCAGGAGCCACATACCTAGCACAGGGGCAGCACACAGTAACTCCCTCCTTGCCCACCCTGCCTCCCTGCTCCAGAGATGCCCCTGCCAGCAACACCCACCACCCCGCTACTCCAGCCCGGGCCTTGCCAATGACGACCAGCACCCCACACTCCTGATGGCCATGGTGCTGACCCTGCTGGCTCCAGCAGCCACCTCCCTGCCCAGGCCCCAGGAGAGCCACACACCCACCAATAGGGCCAAGGCACTGGCTGCAGGAGGCCCTGACTGACCCCCTCCTCCTGTACTCCCTGCTCCAGCCCATCTGTCCCACCACCTACACCCAGCACCACTCTCAGGACATGCACATGGTTGAAACAAAAAAGCTTTATTACCCTCACAACACCCCCCATATCCCCTCCCCCTCAACAAACAGTGCCCCCTCCACCACCCTACCCACCTATCCACAATAAAAAGCCCGCTTACAAGTGGCAAACTATATAGAGAGCAGCCAGTCAGGAGCCCTGAGGCTGGGCTCCAGCCAGCCCCCTAGTGGTTGGGCAGACCCAGGATTAAATTCCTTGCATTAATGCGAAGTAACATGTCTACATGTGCATTAATCCGCATTAACTAATCCTGCTTAAATTTGATGCTTGGTTTGGACATGTATCAAATTTAGGCTCACCTAGCCTAAAATCACCATTTTAAAGCTGTATTAAGGGCGTGCATGTGTAGACACGCTCCCCTAATGCAGTTTAAATTGGGCTAATCCTCAATAAATGACCATGTGTAGGCACGCACACTGTGTATAATTTTACCTCTTTTTTGCCCAAGCAGGTAGACAATATTTCTAGTATTACCTATTGGTTCCATCTTGCAGAAGAGTTGATGATAGAGAGCCAGGTATTTCTTTGCTGCAATCTTATTATTTTACAAAGACTGTACGTATATTTTCTTTTCCTGCACAGTAGGAACCACACAAGGAATATGTTGCAAGACTGTTATGAAATTGTTCCTTGTGCCTCTCCATAGGTTTAGAAGCTAAGTTCATGGGGCCAGTGCCTACAAGGGAGACCTAATTATTTCCCAGAGTGCCCATCCTCAAACAAACAGAAATGCTATCAGTAGCACCAGCTTTCACAATATGTACATCCAAACTAAAACAGATTGACAGCTGGACAATATACAAACATCATACATGAGCACTGAGGACAAAAGCACTCAGTTTCCCTATGGAACAGTTTTTATTCTACACTTGTTTCATTCTGAGATTCCAACATCACTTCGCTTCAGAACTTTATCCATTACCATGATCACAGCAAAGCATCAACTTGTTCTCACTGCCTCTGAGCTCAACAACCTCCCCCCACCCCGCACCACCACCACCTCCCTGAGATAGAATAATGCTTCAGATGTGTATCTGACCTATGAAGAGGTTTACAAAAAGTTCAGGGTACATATTATTTTAAATGTCAAATATAACAAAAAGTCACTCCAAAACCTCCAGGCAGAGCTAAGTGTACTAAGCCTGGTGAGAGGGCCATTATTTGTCCACAGGTTGAACATCTCAGAAAAACCTTTTTACCAAAAAAAAGCCAAGGTAATCCTGAAGCTAACAAGGACAACAAATAGCCAGCAATTTATCATTCTTAAGTCATTTTCTCCTTTAGTGCAGCCCTGGAACATATTATTGATTTTAAATATTGACCAGTACATGCTCATAATAAATAGCTTACTTCCCACAGCAGCTGGAAAATGTCCTTTAACTTTCTGTGGAAACTTCAAGTCAATGATATTAAAGCACAATGAGGTACCTTCTAATATAAAGATACTCTGTTCACAGCCCCAACCACAGTAGGGGTAGATAGCTTAGTTATCTCAGGTTTTATCCCCTCCTTTACAACGTACATTCTGGAATGTCCCCAAGTCTTAATTATCAGTCATGTCACAAGCTAGTCTTCAGTCAAGAGCTGCAGACAATTCTGCTGTGAAAGGGTTAAAACTATAGCTTTTCACCTGAGCAGAAAAGGGAGGGTGAGTGAGCTGAAGATTAGGCTCTGCCCCTGTTCTATGTAGCCATAACTGAAATAAATCTTTTGTTCTTCATTCTGCCTTCCCTGCTCTTCCCCCGCAAAAGGTTCATGTGGTATGCCAAAAATGTGATACTAGTTATTATCTACTGGCACAGATAGTTACTATCAGTAATATCTAGTAATAGTTACTATCTACTGGTGGTTAATAGCTACTGGTAGACATCAGTTACTTCCTTAATGATGTAATATGACTGTCCATTGAATCTTAAAGATGATGTCTTTGTCCTTGAAGCTTCCAGCTGCCTTTTCAGCTGGGAGGCAATTGTTTCTTTCTACAACTTGACTGTATGTCAAGACTGAAGGCATTTGTTTCACATGGGAAGTGTAAGACCACGTTGGGTCATAAAAAGTTTATCAACACATAGTCTGTCTTATCACAGGGTTTTCAGTCTACATCAGGGTGGGTAATGTATAATCCATAGAGTCACTGGATCTGGCCTGTGGAGCTACACACTTTGCCTGTGCCTGTGCCTGTCCCTGCACTGGGGCTGAGAAGTAAAGAGCTGTGCCTTGGCTGGGAGCTGGAAGCTATACCTATGCCACTACAAATTCTCTCCAACCACCCCACCAAAGGCTGCAGTACAGGCACAGTTTCCAGCTGATGGGGGGAAGCACTGGGGCCAGGGAGCTGAAAGGTGTGTGCATGCCTCCACTGCTTCCTTCTCCCACCTTCCTCCCTCTCCCTTCCTTCAGAGTGTAGCATGAGTACAGCTTCTGGCTGGAGCAGAACTGCACAGTGGTCAGGTTGAATAGGGGTGGAGAAGGGGGAAGAGAGAAGCAGCAGCAGCATGGAAGCAGCTTCCAGCTCCCTGACACCGGCACAGCTACCGTCCAGCTGGGAGCTACACTTACACCATAGCTGGAGGGAAGGAATGGAGCCTGGGGGAAGCAGCAACAGTGTGGCTACAGCTGTCAGCTGTGTGGCTCCAGCAGGGGTGCAGGTAAAAGTAGAATGAACATGAAGTAACCACACTACAACTCAAATTCTGTTACATCACTATCATAATCTTGTAGGTCTCAGGCACTTGATTTTAAGTCTAATATATCAACATTTTCTGCAGAAATCAGCTACTTTTGAGAAAATTTTGATTACTGGAAAACCCAAGTTTCTGTTGCAACCAGTTTTATCAAGTTATGTTGTAGCTGTGATGATCCAGAAAATAAGAGGCAAGAAGTTAGATGCCTTATACAACCGTATATCCAAAAATAAAGTCATTTTGACATTCATAATCAACATTTTTAGTTTTACACCCCCTTTATCAACTGTACATCTACTGAACCAATGCTTAACTACAAAAGTGAGAGAAATGTATACTTTATTTGTATCTCCTTTAGATAAAAGAAAATTACAGAATGAAACAGAACAACTGATTTCATCAAGTAATGCAGAATTTACAAACAAGAGAAAATTCATACCTATCTCAGGAGCTTATGACTGGATTTCTATGTCAAAATGTTTTCTCTTCCTTCAATAACTGCACAAACTGTTCTTATCCATCACCACAATTCACATATCTACTTGTCTATTATCTGTCAAAATAGTATTAACAATGTAAACATCTGTTCCATATGTAAACTTTAAAACAGTAAATGTGTATGCATCTTCATTTACAAGAAAAATCAAGCAAAAACTGGATATCAAATTTATTACAATCACAGCATATACTATATAATACTGTTTCAACAAGAATTGCAGCCTACTGGGTTTATATAACCAAAAGGAAGCAGAAGCAAGAAAGTATGTGTAGTGTCATGAATTAGTATAATATAAGGCTATAATAAAAAAATAATCTGAATATTTTAGAAAAAATTATGTACTTGCTGAAACAAGTCAAGACTACATTTCCAGTCACTTCACATCTATAGTGTAGGCTTTTTCTTTAACCGAGCTTAAAAAGTATCAGATATTTATTTTTGTCCTCTGCTTTGAATTTTGTTTATATACGGTAGTGCTTGATACTACTAATAAGTATGTTTTTTGTCAAAGATATAACGTGTGGATTCTAAGCTTTAAGCTTTGGACAAGAGCTTATTTTAAAATTTGTCAACTGTATTCAAACTATTTAAACAAAAATCAGATACAATAATTTGTAACCAAAAATCATTGGTATTTGAATACTTGAAAGAAAATATTTTTTCTAAAGAATGACTACACATGAACATATGACTGACTATTGCAGAAAAGAAATGCTCTGTGGACAAAATCAAAATAATGAATTTATATTATTCCATATGCTTTTTGCTGCTGCTTTTGTTTCCTCTCTGTTAAAAATGAGTAAACAAAACTAGGCACCAGGCAAACGAGTGCTAGTGCCATTATAGATTTCCTTTGTAATGTTTAACATCTTTGTAGTGCAAGGCAGAATCATACACATGACCATTTTAAAAAAAATACAGAGAGAGAGTTATCATTAATGGTCTAAAATAATTATAATATCATAGTAACCAAAAAGATTTTGTTCTTTTTCCTCTGATTATATTCCAATTTAACCTCCTATATGTCATTTTTAGAAACTGCACTTTGCATTAAGACATTTGGTGATAACAAATGCTTTAACTTGAAAACAACACCATTTTGAATCTAGTTAGGCAGCTTATGCATATCAGAGCATTCTGTTTGCAGACGCAATGAAAAGGGTAAATGAAAACTAAAAATTAAATATGGCTTCAGCTTGTCAATGTCTTTAGTATGTTGCAGAATTTCAGGCAGCACTAGAGACAGCAAGTTTCTTCAGATGATCCATGAAGACCTGCAGGCTGACATCATCTGTAAGAATAGGTGCTCCGGACTCCTACAAGACAAAGGAAAAATGTTAAGATTTATTAGATTATAACATATATTAATCAAGCCTAATAAAACAATTTATTAATAGTTTAATATTTTAGAAGGATTTTACAAGCATATAATTGACAAAATATACTGTCAAAAGAACAGTAGATTATAAAATTTGCATACATTGTCATATATTTGCATACATTCAGGCAAAAACCGAAGCTACTGTCCTTTAAATTTTAATGTATTCTGCAACAATTCCCAGTGTTGAGAGATAATTTTATATATTTTGGAAGTCTGGAGTTTGGGGGTGTTTTAATTGCCAAATGTTGAATATTAAATTTAAAAAGGGAACAAACAACATCTTTCATACCATATTCACTTATTGTTTCTATCTTAGTGCAACAAGGCAAATAGAGAACCAGAGAAGTGCAAGTTACTACTACTGCCAAATTAACTATCAAAATATCAACTGGGAAATAGAAAATAATAACCCAATAAGAACCTGATCCAAATGGCTCAGTGAAGTCTCTGAGAGGCTTTCCATGACTTCATAGATTTCATAGACATCAGGGCTGGAAGGGACCTCGGAAGATCATCGAGTCCAGCCCCCCGCCCAAAGGGCAGGAAGTCAGCTGGGGTCATAGGATCCCAGCAAGATAAGCATCCAGTTTCATCTTGAAGGTGTTCAATGAAGGCGCTTGAACCACCTCTGGTGGCAGGCTGTTCCAGACCTTGGGGACTCGGACAATAAAGAAGTTCTTCCTTATGTCCAGCCTGAAACGATCTTGAAGTAGTTTGTGACCATTCGACCTCGTCATCCCTTGGGGCGCTCTGGTGAACAAACGTTACCCCAGATGCTGGTGGTCACCCCTGATAAACTTGTAGGTGGCCATCAGATCACCCCTGAGCCTGCGCTTTTTCAGGCTAAAGAGCCCCAGGGCTCTCAGCCTGTCATCGTAGGGTCTGCTTCCCTGACCTCTGATCATGCGCGTGGCTCTTCTCTGGACTCTCTCAAGCTTCTCCACATCCTTTTTGAATTGTGGAGCCCAAAACTGGACGCAGTACTCCAGCTGCAGCCTCACTAAGGCCCAGTACAAGGGGAGAATGACGTCCCGGGATTTGCTTGAGAAGCATCTATGGATGCAAGCCAGCGTTTTGGTCGCTTTACTAGCCGCC